ACGCGCGGCAAACGCGAGTTTCCGAGGGGGTATCCGGCTGTATCCTGATGGATACGTGTGTTAATACGCCCCCCTTCTTTGGGCGTATGGCGTTTTACCGCGTGATCGTACGCGCAGTAAAACGCTCAGGTGTGAACCGGGCCTTATACTGACATACTGTTCCTGTCATTGCTTACAAAATACCAAGTGGACTTTATTGTCCTGCTTTTTACTGTGGGTATTATTTTAAAATACATATGAAATGGGATACAACTCTCATTTAAATGGCCCGGGGGAAGACTAACTTCCCAAGGTCATGCCTGAATATGTATACCCTTTCACAGCCCGCACCACCGGTAATAAACCTCTGAGTGGTTGGTCAGAAACATATAAATATTTATAACCCTAATTACTGCCGCCTCCCACACTACTGCCTGGAACAATCTCCAAGTAAAGGCAAACAATAACCAGAGCTCACAAGAGACTCATGAAAGCCAAATTGTCGTCAATTAGACTCAGACTGACTACATCCGGGCAACCTCTACATTTAAATAGACACTCCTGTTTTGGGAAGGGTGTATGTCTGCAGTGGTAACTGATACACAACTGGAATTGAATTGCATTTTAGCTCATCTGATGGTAGGGAATTTCAAAGCATTTTAACCTTTTTGGAAAGTTTAAATCACCATAATGTTATGGGCATAAAAGCAGCTGTTGACTAAATTCCTTCCTAGCTGAAAGAATCTGAACTTTCATGTGACCAACCCACAATACAAAAACTGGTAAATGACTACATTTTGCACCATGTCACCGATGCAAGAATCATGTTGTCTGTTGATTTCAGACAGTGCCAAGTTGATCAAGTACAGTATCCTGCTGGGACTCTTCAGGGAGGCATGTCACCAGCACACCAGACAGACACGTCAGTTTCAGTAAATCTTCATTTTTTTTTTTTCTCAAAAGTCACTCAAAGTACAATCAAGCCCTTTTGGGGCCACACAGTGTCCCCTTCATCAGGCTTAAAGTGATGAAAAGGACCCTGTTTGGCCCCGAAAGCGCTTGATTCTACTTTGAGTGACTTCAGAAAAATAAAAAAAATTAAGATTCACTGAAACGGACGTGTCTGTCATGCTGGTGACATTTCTTCACAAACTTTACTTGATGCGGCGCCATCCGCAGTCACTGCAAGCACCCACTTTTGACAATGGGAATTCCAGTAAGGTAGTGCTACAGGATTTTTGATATCTTCAGGGAGGCAGACACATTTGTGATAAGGGAGAACTGTGATAAAGATACCACCTTCCTTTATTTCATTTAGGAAACACTTAATGCAGCATGGGGAAGAACAAAACCAACTTGAAGGTTTAGTTCACTGCAATGTTGGTGCCTGAAAACAAATGAAGGTCACCATTTTACAGTAAGGAGGCCATGTTGCTGGGTATGAGCCTGATCCCTTGTCCAGGAAACATATTGTTTGAACATGATGATAATGGCAATGAAAATTGAGGAAGGAGAATGTTGGGTCTACAGTTACTTCAACAAGCTTGTAAATGTTCACGATTGTTTTTTTTAGTCTGAAAAGCCAACTATGTATATAGAAAAAATGGAATAGAGATGAGGGGAATTTCTCTTTCACAAAATTTTTATTGTTTTCAAATAGACATATAAATGGAACACAATGTTAAGGTAAAAAACAGTGCTGGCGCAACAGCTCAGAACGTTCATTTGGGTTATGGTTCAATATGTTTTGCATATAGCTAGTAAGCCTTTAAGTTCTAATAAATAGTCTAAGTTCTATTAAACATCTAGTGAGAACAGACTGGTGAAGGTTACAGTTGTTATGGACTGAAGTCTGGTTCTTTAGGCTATTTCAAACTAGTTTCTGGGAGGCTGTTTCCTGTGAGCAGAAGCTAAGTGGGGGGGTAGTAGGGTGGGAAAAGGGACAGGGTGTCACACAAGAGGACAATTAGGGTATGGTGAGGCAAATATAGTATGGAGATCAGAGTGAGGGGGAAAAATAGAAAGCTGGTATAGACTCGTCAGGTGGGTTCTAGAGCTGCAGCTAACGATTATTTTCAAAATCGGTTATCCGATTATTAAGTTCGATTAATCGGTTAATCGGATAAACAATAAAATAAATTGTAAAAAATGGCTCCAGTGATGGACTACTAGTTTGTATTGGGATTGTAGTGCATCACAGGAGCAAGCTTGGAGCGGTGGAAGTAAAAAGGAAAAAAAAAAATTGTGCGGTGTGCAATATAGTGAAAGTGTAAAATGATACAGCAATTAATGCAGAATGGCACCGGCTATAGAGGACTACAAATCCCAGCAATAATACAATATACAGTGCAAAGTTCCCTCTATCTATTGTGGGGTTTGATTAGATCGTTAGCTGGGCCGAGTCAAAGTGTAGTGGACTGGCATAGGAGATCCAAGCACCCCAGATCCTCTCAAAATTTAGTATAGGAATCGGTTAGGATCGCCGTGGGTTGTTCATTAATCATCGCATCAGTGACTCGGATTTTGACTTCCATAAAATTAAGCACAGGGGATTTCAAGGATCTGGCTATGGTTTGTTTGGTAGCCATGAAAATGTGGGATATTAAGCACTGCTGATGTTTACAAACTCCATTAATAGGTTTATGTAAAAGCGATTCCC